CGCACAGCCTTGAGGTGTGTGTGTAGGGGGAGGGGTGGGCTTAGACCTGCCTCTACTGAATGTACCAGGCCTTACTTTCTTGTAAGAGGGAATGGGGGGGGGGGGTTGGTTAGGGGGAAGGTTGGAGGGGCAGGAGAAGGGAAGAGGGAGTTCTGTGATTGGTATGTAAAATAAATAAAAAAAAATAACACTGGAACTAAGCAATGGTGTATAGCAGGAATCTTAGAAGGTCTTATTAATAAAAACAAATCTGGAGCCAGGTATTGGGGTGAATACTGGAAGATCAGAGAAGCAGAACAAGCCACAGCCACCTCACCTTGCCAATACCTCAGCTGATCCTGTTTCCTCAAACTGGAAGCCTCTGAATGGATCTCAGCTGAACTGCTGCTCAAAAGCCTAAAAGCTTAACCAGCTCTAGTTCCTGGTTTTCACGCCTTAAATAGCTTTCTGCTTCCTGCCATCACTTCCTGGGATTAAAGGCGTGAGTCACCATGCCTGGCTGTTTCCAGTTAGCTTTGAACTCACAGAGATCTGGATGGATCTCTGCCTCCAGAAGGCTAGGATTAAAGGCATGAGTGCCACCATTTTCTAGCCTCTGTCTCTAGTGGCTGTTCTGTTCTCTGATCCCAGATAAGTTTATTAGGGTGCACAATATTTTGGGGAACACAATATCACCACAATGGTGCTTCAGTGGACAGTCCTTGTAGACATCGGTGCACTGAGTAGAGTTGCCTCAGAAAGGCATGATGTAATCACACTGTGCAGTATTCCTTCAGCTTTAATAATGTACAGATGTCTATTTTAAAGACAAACAACTCTCATCTGCAGACATATCATCCTGAATGTGCTAGATCTTGTCTGATCTTGAAACTGAGCAAGGTCAGGCCTGGTTAGTACTTGGATAGGAGGAAAAAGAAAAAAAACATGAAGCCCCATGGTGGCTCACATTTAATGATTTTTGTTTAGTTTTGTTTTTAATGCAAGGTCTCATGTATCCCCATCCACCTTCAAATTCATTATGTAGTCAAAGATGACCATGAATTTTTTAATGATAATTTCATATGTATATACAATGAAATGTGGTCATGATCATATTTGCTCCCCATTTTCACCTCCAACTCTCCAAGTATTTTTCAACATGGATCCTTCCAAATAAAATTCATGTCCTTTTACCCCTGAAAACTCACTAAGTCAGATTAGCATTGCCAATATGTATGGGTTGTACACGGGGGCCTGGGAAATACACCAGTGTCTACACATGAGAGAGAGTGTGAGAGAGAGAGAGACAGAAAGACAGACAGACAGACACAGAGACAGAGACACAGAGACAGAGAGATTCTCCATTTCCAGCATCTATCCACTGCCAACAGTTCCTCAGCAAGGGATGCGATCTGGAGAGAGCATCTTCCACCTGTGTTAGAATTTTTGCTGGAAGGATCTTGTGCAAGTCAATACAGCTGCTGTGAATTCATTAGTGCAATCCTCAGGCCAAGTCCAGAAGGTCGTGTTTCACAGCACTCCTTCCCACCCTCCAGTTCTTATATTCTTTTCAGCTCTTCTTCTACAATGTTCTCTGACACTTGGTTGTGGGGAGTGGGATCAAGAAAGATGTCTCAGCCGGGTGGTGGTGGCGCATGCCTTTAATCCCAGCACTCAGGAAACAGAGTCAGGTGATCTTGTGAGTTTGAGGCCAGCCTGGTCTATAGAGCGAGTTCCAGGAAAGGCTCTAAAGCAACACAGAGAAACCCTGTCTCAAAAAAAAAAGAAAAGAAAAAAAAGAAAACAGAAAGAAAGATGTCTCACTTACAACTGAGCACTAACTTTCTTATTCTCAGCACTTTGACACTTACACATCTGTCCGTTGACTGCTGCCCATTGCAGGGAGAAGCTTCTCTGACCAAGGCTGAGAGCAGCACAGGTCTATGGGGACAAACATGGATATTTAGAAGGTAATTTAGCAACATAACCATGAGGGTGTCACCGTGTGGTTGCTGGGAATGGAACCCAGGTCCACTGGAAGACCAACAAGTGTTCTTAACCTCTGAGCCATCTCTATAACTCTTCAACTTCATGTTTTTTTTTTTAAAAAAGATTCAGAGCTATAATACTAATCCTCAACTCCTTATAGATATAGACTATTTGTTAATTAAATAGAAACAAAACTTAATGAATTATTATTAGTCATCATCATCAATTTAACATGACCTATGACAATTCGATGTTTGAAAATTACTGGATCTTGGCCAGTAGATCAACTAGCCTATTTATGTTGGTCAAAACGTGAGCACAGGTTGGTGTATTATTCTATCCTTTCTCCTGTGCTTGTGTGCCTCTGCCAGCCTATGCTCTGAAGTTACCCCCTTAATTCTTCTCCATGCAAGTGCCTAAGAAATCACCAGTTTGTCAGCACACTGGTGTTCTTCTGTATTCACTGCAGTGCAAATAGATTGTGCTTGCACTCTCTTCTCATTCGGGAGATGACAGGTTGCCCATTGCCTCGAAAGTCAGTGAGAGGGGGGCACTGATGTTACATTGTAATGCTGTTAGAAGTTCATTCACATGCCTTGGAAGACACCAGAGGGCAGAAACACTACTTGGAACATTTTCATTGAGAAATGGTGAGTTTCCAACATGATCCTAGCTACTGCATAGTGGCATGGATTAGATCCCATGACACTGTTCAGGCATGGTCATCTATGCTGATATGTGAGTCATATAGGGCATGAAGAAAAGGACATAGCTACTCAGCCTGAACAACATCAAGAATCTTCCAGACAGAAATTAGATGCCAAAAAAATTTTAAAAAGTAACTTATTTCATTTGGAATAGTTTGCACTTGACACAAATGGCCAAGAGATAATTATGATTAAACCTTGTGAAGGTTTCTTTTATAGATGTTATAAAATAAAACACACACACACACACACACACACACACACACACACAGAGGCTAGAAAGGGAGCCAGACAATATAACACAGGCTAGAAAGGGAGCCACATGATATAATGGCCTATTTCATCTGTAATTTTAGTGATTATTATAAATGATGAATAAAATCCACCTTAAAGTGCTTTTTTATCATCTTTCCAATGTGGCACGATCCAAAGGTTGACCCTAAAATAGAAGCACCTCTTTAGATGTACCAGGAACTGGAACAAAGCTGGAAATCTGGACCTTGACCCCAAGCTCATAAAGAGAGTGCTGCACATTACTCCCCTGGAAACAGAAGACTCTACAGTGAGATCATCTGGCACTAAAGGAGTCATGCAGGTGACTCTTAAGATCAAAAGAACCTACCCCAAGATTCAGGTTCCACTGGGGGACAGCTGGGGTACTTAGTTGCCGGTACTAAGCTATGCAGCAAAGACCTCCTACCTTGGGTAGGCTACAGAAGGAGTGCAGAGGTCTAACTGTTGATGTTCATGACAAGGAAGCAGGTAATCCCATCACTATGTTGAGATCACAGGGTAGAACTAGACACAAGCCACTCTCCATAAAAAAAAAAATGTTCGAATTCATATCAAGTACCTAAAAGGTAGCAAAGCAAGTGCTGTGTGAACAACCTGTCAAATTACATATCATCTAGTTAGGGTGGTCAGAACTGAGAGTCTTTCCAATGGAACGAGGTCTCCTGGAAGCTTCCTTAATGGCTTAGCATCTCAAGAAGGCACTGAACCACCCTTGAGTGAGGTTGTTTATGACTGTTGCCCCTTAGGATTCTGTCCTCCAAATGAAGCTTACTTATTGCCTGACTGGACATAGAAGGCCTCGGCCACTATCTCCTAGTATCTTAGGTGTGATCTAGGTACTGTGGACTCAGCAGCCAGCCAGATACCACGTCTTTGCACTCAGCTTTGTGCAGTGAAGGCAGGCTGGCGGACCCGAGCATCCGTTCTTTATAGACCTGGGCAGCTGAAAGGAAGGGTGTGCAATCTTTCACACCTTTGATGGGAACACAGGTTAGAAGACACCTCATCATCTGCAGCTGTCAAATCTAAACTACCTCCTTTTAAGAGCCAGTCTGTTTCCTTACCAGATCAATGCTCTTATCTGTAGTCATGTGGACCACCAGCGACAGTCAGTAACAAAGTAACACACAATCCAATTTCAAAAGGAAAAGAAACATCTTAAATTCAAACGTTTATTGTACAACGGTGAAAATGCCCTAGGTGAAATTAATTGGAGCTCAGAGCTTAGAAATCACCTCGCCTGGCTGAAACAATATGACAGATGGAAATGATATAGGTTTGGGGACAGACAAAGGCAACTTTGTCCAGGCTTTCAAATTTTACCCTCCTCCCCCACCCTCACCTCCGGCTGCAGCCATTGCTATATCGTGGTGGTGATGGTCCTCAGACTGCAGAGATCTTAGCTAGCAAAGTGGCTGGAACATTTCATGCCTCCAGAACTCCAGGGTATCATCTGAACAGACGAAGGCAGCTTTGTTCACTCACTCCACGCTCCTCGTCTCTTCAGATGAGTAGTGCCGTGGTCCCCCTCCATACACCTGTTTCTGGAAGCCTGTCATTAGAGCATCTACCACCCGAGTATGTCCTTAGTTTGTTGTTGTTGTTTTGTTTTACTTGAATTGATCCAAACACAGATCTACCTACTGAGATACTCTTGTGTTGTAAAGAAGCTGGGCTCTGTGTTATGCTTTTATAGATGGCTCTTATCCCAATATTTTGCCAGTATATTTGATCATAAAGCAAAACGCTATCAAGAGTGCTTGAAGCAAGGCAAGTTTTTCAGGTGAGAAAACATAATAACAGGTGGTAGAAAGCAGTTTGTCCCGAACTCTGATTCTTGAACTTGTGTGTGTCAGAGAATGGCTGGCTGGTCACCGAATCTGCACCTTCTTTTCCCTGTTGATATAGCTAAACCATGCTCCCACTTTCTTTCTATTTGACCATGGCCACAGGACCCAGCTCAGCCAGAGGAATTTTAACATAAGCCACAGGCTCACTTCAAAGCCCAGAGCAGAGTTATCACCCACTCACCATGTCCTGCGTTTCCTCCTCTTCCGTTCCCTCCAGATGAATGGCGGCTTTTCTAGAAGGCAGATGCTAAAGGGAGAGGAGGAATTGGGTCCTTGATTTACAACTTGAAAGAAAATGTTCCATTGTTCAAGAACACTCGTGTCAGACTTTACCTAGGGAAAAAAGAAATCTTTTTTCTTGTTCGAACAATTCATGTAGTTTAGGGCTTATTTGTTACAGCAGCAACTATTGATAGAAATGACACAGTACATTCAACAGCCATACAGGTACAAGGTGCTTTCTCAAAATTCCCATGAACTTCAGAATGTTCTTGTGCACTGGCATCCACATTTGTCATCTAAAGAGATAAAAATGGAGACCAAGTCCTTGTGAACCCATATACGGCTTCTATTTTGTTCATGCAATTTGAAATCATCCCATTTGGGAGGAATTTTTTTTTTTAAATTAGAAGTAAAACCATACAATGAATACTCTTCTTTTGGTAAGTAGAAGGGAGAAAAATCCAGAGACAAGTCACTGGAGAAAATAAAATAAAGAAAGAAATCTGCTAGCATGAAGACAATATTTTAGTCATATATGTGGATTTAATTGGTTGGTGTTGCTTTTGAAATCTTATTAATAATAAATATATTTAAGCTATAATCTGTAGAACATATGCATGTTGCAGTAAGTTCAAAAGCATAAATACATACTTTCTAGTAGAATAGCACATCCTGAATGGAAGGAGCAAGACATCTTTATCAGATACAACCTGTACTTTTTATGAGAACAGCTATTTCTGGGCATCTGCTTGCTCATGTTACAACCAATGAATTTCACATGGACACAGACATTACACCTTCTGACAGGTACACTTACACACATTGGGTGAATAATTCTCCATGAGTACTGATTCCAGGGATTGCCAGACTCCTATCTTCCAAACAAACTTACCCTTTATGCATCTATAATTTAGCAATACATCTCTTCCTACTAAATAAGAAAAAATAATTTTCAGATGTAGAACTTTTAGTTAACCCCACTATCAAAAGCAATTTTCCATTAACTGTTTAAAATGTTCCCAAGTATACTTAATTTTTTTCTATGGTCATAAAGGGTATTGTAGAAATTGACTGACACATATCAATCCAATAGAGTCAATACCCACAATACAGCTGCCTTGTATGTCCATGTGCTGCTTCATTGGTTGGCATGGAGCTACAAAGTCACCATGCACTACAACTCCAGATGCCCAACTCCTGGCTTAAGGGCACAGTGATCCCCATAGTTCACTGTTCTGAGTAGGGAGAACAGTTCTCTTATGACTCACATTTCTTCAGATACGTGAAGAGTAACATGAGGCCAAGTCTTTCATTGGCTGACTTGTTCTTATTCTCAGGAAGAAGGGGCAGATTTGAGGTCATTTGCAAAGCACCTCCTTGAATGTCTCATTAAAATTTAGTTTTAATCTCTTAAACACTAAAGTTTTTAAACTTCATGGAGAAATGACCTGCCTAAAGATGAATCAGAAATTTTTTTAAGTCCTTATTTAATTCCTTAAACATTAAGCATGTTCAAAGTTCAAGCATAGTTCTGAGCCTGGGAATGGAGGGTGAGAACTTGGTGGGATTTGCCCATGCATTCTCTGACTCTCAGTATCTCTGGTTCTTACCCAATGCTCACAGATGAACGAAAATGGCTGTAGCTCCTGGGAGTCTCACCCATTGCTGGTCCCGGGCCGTGTTCTGGTATGCTATGGGTTAGTCACAGGCTTCAGTCACTGTGATAAAATACCTGATAAAATGAAAGGAGAAAAATGGTTTCAGAGGTTTTGTTCATAGTCACTTGTCCGTGTTACATCTGGGTCTGTGGCAAGTCAAGACGTCAAGACAGAGGGCCCATGGCCAAGCAGAACTCCATCTTCCTATCTGCTTTTTGAGTTAGTTCCCCATGTCATTCTACAAGGATTGGAACAGATCCTGATGGGGTAGAAGGGAAGAGGCCGTGCATAAGAAGCTAAACATTGAAAAATGCAAATTGAGAACAGTCAGTAATGCTTTATGTCTGACTGAGGCTTTTCAAATTTGAGAAAATGAAGAAACATGTAAAAGTACTTTAGGAATAATTCATCATCCAATGACAGAGATTTATGGCAGTTAACTTTTTAGTGTGTTCCTTCCCTCTGCCTCTCTGAAACTGGTCACATGTTCTTTCTCCCATGTCATTAACTGCTCTGTGCAAACATTATTTGTTCTGATCTTATGCGGACATGTCATAATTTTCCAAACCTCTCATTATTATTAGACACTTTGATTGCTTCTAAAATTTGGCTACTATGAATAACTGATGATGAATGTCCTCATACATAATCTTTTTATGCATTTCTCATAACTTTATGAGGATGTATTTTTACAAGTAGAATTACCAAACCCAATCACACAAATCTCCATAGGTCTTGAAAGCTACTAAATAGTCTCTTCCTAGAAAGCAATAACGTGTTCTACCTACCATTCATATTCATGGAAGTATTTTCCAACATGCTTTCCAAAAAGAAATGTGATGATTTTGAAAATCTTCCCTGATTTGATAAGAAAATAACATTTTGTTGTTTCTATTTTCTTTGATTTCTAATGAGGTGGAAAAGATGATTTCTTCTTTGGCAGACAGCCTATTTATATGATTTGCAAATTTGTGTTTAATTTTCAATATATTTTATACTGACGTGTTTTCTGTGCTTTAATGCAGACTTCCACTTTTACTTGTTATATTTATGTTATTTTATATTCTGCTCCATTGTATTTATAGTAGAAAGTAATTGAGTATCATATGTGGGGTTTGTAATCCATCACTTGACTTAATGCTAATTCATGCTAAATTTTTTCAGCTCATTGTGAAGGGATTTGTAGTAGACAATAAGGTATTATGGAAATTATGACTGTTTAGTTTTTCCCTTTCAAACAATTCAGCTTCTTAATTCTGTTCCATTTTGTCAGCATCTTCACCCCCAAATTGTGCCAACTTTACTGAGCTTGGTATTTGGAATTGGTTTAAGATACAGACACTTTTACATATTAAGAAGGAATATTGTTGGCCCAATTTTACTATAATTCTTTTCCATGTAGATGTTGAATTTTATAGTGTTACTGGCATGTTCATGTGAGTGCAGGTATCTGCAGAGGCCAGAAGAGGGTGTTAACCCTTTGGAACTGGAGTTACAAGCAATTGTGAATAGCCCCATGTGGGTACTGGAACCTAATTTCTCTGCAAGGGCAGAAAGTGCTCCCAACTGCTGAGCCATATCTCCTGTCCCCAGAGTCCTTGTTTTGATTGTTTGAGAGATAAAGCGCTTTAATAAATATTTATTCTTTTATCTAGGAATGTGCTCTTCTATGTGAAGAACAGCAAGGGTGATATCTGTTCTCTAACATATTCTTTACATAACAGTGTTTTATTTAAGCTTTGTATCTACATTCACAAAAGAGGTGGTGCCTGCAGTCTAATTTTACAAATTATAGGTAAGATTTTATATTACAGTTACGTTAGCTTCTTACAAGAATCAGTACATGCTCAATATTTTCCCTTTACAGGTTACACCCCTTTTTATATTTTGACAGATTCATCAATGAGACTATTTTCTCCTGAAATTTTTGTATCATGGATAGAACCATTTCATAATTACTTTTTCAAGTTTTTTGTCATGTTATTTCATCCACTCAAAATCCTCATTTCTTCCCCTGTAAGTCTTGGGTAATTGTAAACTTCCTAGAGATCTACCATTTTATTATGGATTTCAGAGTAGCGGAGAGCTTTTCATTGAGATGATTTTTGCAGCATGTACACACGTCACATCAGCCGTTTCCTAATATTTTACTTCAAGTACACTATACTTCCCTTTTATTTCCTGATTTCAATCAAATTTTGTATGTCAGAGGCTCTCCTGCTTAATCAACTCATTTTATTTTCAACTTTATTTCTGCTCTTATCTTTACAGGTTTCTTACCATCCATTTCCTTCTGCATTGTTTGACTTTATTTTCCTAGCTAGTTCAAATGAAGGATTATCTATCTACTTTCCCAAACTAAACCATTTTAGGTGATGACTTTTCCTCAAGTTACAAGTCTGGTTACATCATACAAGTTTTAGTCCTCTGTTTTTATTATTATCTCCTATTAATATTTTTTGTGATTATAGCTGTGGGTTTTTGTTGTATTTACTCACTCAAGGATGATTTGGCTGACTTTAAGAACCACCTTCCCCCAATTATGTACACACCACTCTCACATAAGCTTCTAAGTCTTTCTTAATACTATCTAAAATATATAAATACTTTTCAAATAGGTTTCAACGACAATATCTCATATGTATTTTCAGTTTTGTACCCAAATTTATTGCACATCGTAATGCTAAACCTTTTTCTCTGGCAGCTACATTTACATACAACTAATTGTCAATTTTCTTAAAAGAACTAGTGTTGATCATATTGCATTTTATAAACGAACAATTCTTTGCATTATTTTCATGTCCGTGTTGTCTGGTGCAGTGAACTACAACATTGGATCTGAAAGTTCAGTCTTCACAGGAGAGCAGCTGGAACTGATCTCATAAGCAGATGTTCTCTGCCGGTGGCAACAGCTATTCCATTGGCATCATATTTAGAAATACAAACCCACCATCTTTAGTACAGTGTTCCCCTTGATCAGGCAAACTCCACTCCTGCTTTAAAACCAGCCAGTGCTTCCTCTTGTCCATCAAACCAGCCTTAATCTGCTGTGTCTAACTACTTCCCCTCAGGATGTCTGAGCACACCCTGTGTGCACGTGTGCACGTCACTGTGTGCGCTCCTGATGTTATCTCATTTCAATTGTTTAAAATTTTATTTTTGTCCATGTGCGTGTTTGTGTCTCTGTGTGTATACTACATGAGTGAGGGAGCCTGTAGAGGCCAGGAAGAGGTGTCAGGTGTCCTGGAGCTTGAGTTACAAGTGGTTGTCAGTTGCCCAGCATGGTGCTGGAAATTGAACTTTGGTTCTCTGGAAGACAGGAAGCACTCTTAACTACTGAGTCACCTCTCCTGCCCCCTGCACTGCCGATTTGATATGATCACTCTTCTACGAAATATTTTGAGGGCAGACCTGAGCACAATGCTGGACCATTTATAAATAGTTAATTCAGGTTTGTTAAATGAGATGAACTGGTAAAATATTGACCCAATCAATCATCTTAAATTAGTAATAACTAATATAAATTCACCCTTCCCTTCTGATTGGTTCTTCAATAATGGAGCTGGAAAAAAAAAAACAGTCCAATGAGACCTCCTAAGAAGTGGAAATGAGACCTTCCTATGAAGTCATAATGAGATCGCCCTATGATGACAGACAAGCAATGTGGTCTCCAAAGAGTTACCATCTACTATACTAGCAGGTGAGTTATTCATTGATCCCAGGGAACATTAAACTTGGGGAGGGGGACCTTGTAACTTGTTTCTATTGGATAACTTTGGTTTTCCTTTTTCTCATATATGTGTAAGAACATTCTCTTACTCCTTCTTGTTTGGACTCATGCCTCTTCAAACAGCTTTTCATAACCACTGTTAGAGGAGTGATTCTCTGTCTCCAGAAGTCTCCCTTGCTTACTGATCAGGCTTCTAACACTCATTACATTTTCCTGCATTTCTGTCATTAAGAGACCTTGGGATTTCTTGAGAGGAAATCAAGAAGTACTTTTCCATCTCCCAATTTTGAGCAAAACACTTCACAATGCATGTACCAAGTAAGAATGCCCACATGTGTGTATATGTGTGTGAACACATAGTGATTTTGTATGTGCTGGTGCAAAATTATGCAATTCACAAATACCTATTTCAAAACTTGTCTCTTTCAACAAAATTCAGAAAAAGATGCATGTGGGAGTTTATGTAGAGAAGGTACGATAATCCCAACTGAAAATTTTCTCCAAGTGCCTTCAACCCCACTTCCTTCTATTTTGTCTTAATAGCCAGACAAAAATGTCCACAAACTGTACCTTCCCTCTTTTAGAAAAGATGTCAATTCATCATCAACTTCCAGATAATTTCTATGGCTCCTTCTGCTGACACTGGAAATTTCCTAGTTCCCCATGGAAGCTTAAAATACCATCCACCCAGTTCACAAGTTCATTCTAAAATCATTATCAATAATCAAGAGAAACCCTCAGAAATCATCACACACACACACACACACACACACACACACACACACACACACACACACACACACACAAATATTCATACACACCACAGATCACTCTCTGGAGTGATGAGATGCATGCATGCCTAACACCATACATACATGCATGCATATGTGCAAACACACACATAAACATTCAGTCCACTCCCTTCCTGAGAGTGAGAGTGGGACTCGAGGGCTCTTGAAGCACAGTTGGTTTCTAATACCAGCTGCCACAGAGCACTGGTCCAGGAAGGCAGAGGGACCATGTGGCTGAATTTCAGGGTAATTAAGAATGTAAAAGGGAGCCCTGGGTGCCACTGGGCACTTAGCAGCATGTGCAAAACTCTTCTAGCAGATACTCAGGTGGGCACGAGGCCAACAATATCCCCACCCCCTGCTTCCTTTGGCAAAGGCAGTTGAACCTGCTCTAGGGAACAGAAGTGGAAGAGCCGTGGTGGTGAGGAAGACTCAACACATTCTGCCGTCCAGGCTGGAATATTGGTTGCATGCTGTTCTCCCTTAATTTGTCGGCTCTCCTCGGCAGCCTAGGGATAGTGCCCTCCCTACTCAGCCAGACAATCTGCAGCAA